ACAACAATTATTAGTTATTAATTAATAATTTCTGAACTAAATATTTGCAATATTGTCTATTTCTTTAAAAAAGGATCCTATAGTCGTTGGTTACAGGAGAAGGAGAAATGAAAACCTCGTGAGATCATGAATTTTCATTGAAATATGTAATATCATTTCATTTGACTGTTCGATACAAATAGGTTTTATCGTTGTGCTTCCCGCATACTTGAACTTACAACGTGTACTTCCGCTTTTACGAGACATACATATAAGATACATGAATAGAATTATCTTTCACAAGACTTAGATTACCGGCAGTAATGTTTAAATGGTAGTTCGCATTCAGAGAGAGACTGATCAAAGTGAACATAATACAGCAGCAAAACCGAAGGTTAGTTTGTTTTACGTGCAACAAGATACAATCGTATTAGCAACCATAATCGAATGACAAACGAAAAAGAAGCGCAATCAATATTTCTTCATACAAAATCTTTCTTTTTTTTTTACAGACGTTTCGCATGTCACGTTGAACGTAGAAGGTACACTTTAATCGTTATAGAGTGCCATAAATGACTAGTTTGCATTCTACGCCGTAATACTGTACAGGGTTTTCTTTTCTTTTTTTTAAATATTGATTTACAATAAATTAAGGAAATGATGTTTTGCTGTGTTCGTATTTAATACCGACGCTTAACGGAAGGACGATCGAATTCGAATACGACAAAGAATTCCAGAAGTACACTTTACAAATATCATTCATCGAATTGTTAGCACGCAATGGAACACTGACTTTTCATAGAAATTTCCTTTCGTAGCTTAAAAAGATACATATTCGATGACGACGCCCTGTACACATACGTGGCTATCGAGTAACATGTATACTTTTTTTTTGTTTTAATGATTTGTCCCTTAAATTGTCACCTGTATAATACAAATAGTTCCTAGATCGTTGTACATTGGTGTATTACCAGTCCTCGCCTATGTGAAATTTAATTACATCCTCTCGTCCGCTTTTCTTAGCCGCTAATTAAAATATAAATACCTATATATTTATATTTATATTTATATATATATATTTATATATTTATATATTCCTTTACATAGTCTACTTATGTCGATTTTGTTTAAGCTTCATTAGCCATAGACAATCTGCTTGATATTTACAGAGATTAGATACAAAATTATAAACAGTTCTTAGTACAAAATAATTTTATGACTATAACGATTAAGGTTCAATAGCGTAGAGCAGGCTTAGGCAACCTTTCACGGCCTATCAACGATTTTTCTCTCTCTCTCTCTCTTTTTCTCTCTATGTCTCCCATTGTTTCTTTCTTCCTCTCTCTTTCTCTCTCACTCCTGTTTTCTTTTGTCTTCTCACTTTTTAAAGACCTGTTCGACAATAATCATCTGGAAGAAAGATTAATTTTTTACTGGTTTTCGGAATGCAATATTTACAAATCCATTGGTTACCAAAGATCATTAGCAATCACTAGCAATAATCAGCATCACGATTCCATCTAGATGGTCATCGGCTGTGAACTAAACTATAATAACCATATATTTCATTCGATAGCTAACGAAACATTTAAAAAGTCCTTGCTCGCTTCTACGAAACAATTAATACGAACGAAGGAACGCTTTCCAAATCGCTCTTTTAATATCTCGTTTCGACAGTAATTCAAGCCTTCACTACACGAAATATAATTAATAATGGACAAATATTCTCAAACTTTGTTCAACTTATTTGTGTTCTCGCGTCCGTCTTTCTCGTTGAAGCTCGTCGATTTAAGCTGCGAATTATTAGGCCATTATGTATGAATTGCATACTTTACTCTATAATTTCACTATAAAATCTATGTATTTCATGCTTAATGACCTAATAATTATAACGCATAATAAACAGATAATGATCACATGTTAATGTAATTCTGTAAATCTTCAAAGACCTGCTTAAAAGTTCGTTCTATCATATACATCAACTTTATCTATTTCTAAATCATGTTTAAATCGCACGATCGGATAGCAGCCAAGAGATTGTGCTGAAATGAAATGATCTATAAACAATTTCAAACTGATAAAAATAATACTGACGATTTCGTGTAGCGAAACGCGTTTGCCACGTTAAATTTAGCCTGCGGATTGTACGAATATATGGCAAAAAGTAATATAATATAATTAAAATACAAAATCGTAGAAATATTAGAAAACTTTACGAACGTTGTTACACTATTTTCAACCTATCAAAATTATTAAAGAAGAAAATATCATTTAATTTAACTTATGTTCTCTAGGATCGACGTAGAAAATTTCTCTTTTGCTTTTAAAGATCCACAGTCTAATTATACTGTACCGAGTTTCCGATTAATCGGTACATTATTTTCTTACGCGAAAAGGAAACGACTATTCGATATAAAAAAAAACAAACGTCAAACAACACGGCAACAATGATATGCCGTAATGAAAAAGCCAGAGATTGCCCGTGCCTGAATAGAAGATACAGCTAGGTGAGCTCTCTACAGTCTTCCGCGATTATCTCTAGATTTCTCTCAATTCCACGTTAGGTTAACAATCGGGTGTATCAGAAATCAGATTCTAGAAATCCGCAGAACAACAAAGATCGCCAAAATGTAGCGTGATATTTTCCGCTTAAAAACAAGTGAAATCCCTGGGACGGTCGTTTTACATGGTGTGGTTCGATGGCCGTGGTGAAAACTTAGGCTACGATTCTGAGAACTACTTATGATAGTTGAATTAATATAGAGCGTCTAGACATTAACTTGTCCAATGCGATTTCTTTTAAATGATTATTAATACGACCATTTTTTTACTTCTTCTCAATGATATGCGTTTCCAAGATTTTCAGTGCATCCTCTCAAACATGATCGTCTTCTGAATTTTATCTGTTAACAAACAATGCTTATCTACCGTACATTTACTTTTTATATACAAGAATCAAAGGTTGTCAATATTTTCGCCTAGAAAGGAGAAACATCAATTGTCATAGAATTCGAAGGAAAGCGGCATACGATAATTAATAATGTTCTACCGAATATCGTCTACCGATATTCACTATTTCGTGAACAATAAAGATTTGCGCACTGTTTAAGATAGTTCTCCCGAGAAGATTTGCTGATTGTAGAAGTAAACTGAGCTTCGGTCTTAATAAACTTTTGCTTCCGGCTAATTATTCGTCGCGCTCTTTTCGCCGAACATCGGCGAAAACTGTTCTACAAAATTAACTATCGGGTTGGTATACACTCAAGTGTATGAGTCGCAAATATTGCCACGAATCAAGATCGAATTTCGCTCGTTCTACACAGATATTTTAATAAGAAAAATTTCGATCACCACGCGTCATGTAAAACGCACGCGATCGCGGCGCAGTCGGGTCTTAAATTGCGAGCGAACGGTTCGCAAAACTTGGCGTAGATGTTCGTGAAACGTTAACCCTTTCGGTACGAGCGCCGGATATATCCGGCATCCATCTGGTCATATTCATATTCGGTACAATATATTATACCTCAATTTTTAGTACAACATATATTGCACTTTAATATTCAATATAACATATTGTACACTTTAATATTTAGTATAATATATTACACTTTAATATTCAGTACAATATATTATACCTCAATTTTTAGTACAATATATATTGCACTTTAATATTCAGTATAACATATTATACACTTTAATATTCAGTACAATATACTACACTTTAATATTTAGTATAATATATTACACTTTAATATTCAGTACAATATATTATACCTCAATTTTTAGTACAATATATATTGCACTTTAATATTCAGTATAACAAATCGTACACTTTAATATTCAGTACAATATACTACACTTTAATATTTAGTATAATATATTACACTTTAATATTCAGTACAATATATTATACCTCAATTTTTAGTACAATATATATTGCACTTTAATATTCAGTATAACAAATCGTACACTTTAATATTCAGTACAATATACTACACTTTAATATTTAGTATAATATATTACACTTTAATATTCAGTACAATATATTATACCTCAATTTTTAGTACAATATATATTGCACTTTAATATTCAGTATAACAAATCGTACACTTTAATATTCAGTACAATATACTACACTTTAATATTTAGTATAATATATTACACTTTAATATTCAGTACAATATATTATACCTCAATTTTTAGCACAATATATATTGCACTTTAATATTCAGTATAACATATTATACACTTTAATATTCAGTACAATATATTATACCTCAATTTTTAGTACAACATATATTGCACTTTAATATTCAGTATAACATATTATACACTTTAATATTCAGTACAATATACTACACTTTAATATTTAGTATAATATATTATACTTTAATATTCGGTACAATATATTATACCACAATTTTTAGCACAATATATTACACTTTAATATTCAGTATAATACAGGGTGTTCCACAATTATTTTAACAGCCGAAAACGAGGGGTAGCTGAGGTCATTTGAAGTATTAAATTATTTTAATAATATATATAATATATAATATTATATATATATATATATATATATATATATATATATATATATATATAATAGATAATATTATATATAAATATAAAATATTATATATTATAATTCTAAAATATATCTTCGAAACTTGTTCATAGATTTGAACATATTCTAGGCCCTTTACAGAATGTTTACAGGAAACCAAACATTTAGAAACGGATTAAGCACAGTTGTTACTTAACGCTTGAGAAAATCTTCGTACAAAAGTGGATCGACCCTGCGTTAGGTGCGCATTTTCGGCGCGGCACCCTGCACAGTGGGAGTGTCACGGCGGACAACGCGCTCGTACCGAAAGGGTTAATCGAACAGTGCCGGAATGAAACGGCAATTCCACTGTCGCCGACTTTTCTTCGCAGTTGTCGATACCACTTGCGACAGCACCAACATGGAAGAATTGAACGATCCCGGAAGCCGTCGAGGCCAGAGCGTGATTGTCGATCGTTACGCTTAGCGAAGAAAACGCGGAACATCGTTGTCGCGGACGCGGACACAACGTCGCGTAGAAACTTTTCACCGATTGCCAATTCACCCTCGTCCAGTGGATCATCGAAATCAACGTTAGAGCTCGCGGACCTAAGCGGCGTCGATGAAACGTTAGGTTCATTGAAACACCGAGGCGTTCTCCGGCCGACAACAAAGAAGCACCGTTGCCAGGGGAGCGCCCGTCGGGAACGGAAAGAGCGACGAAGTATTAGAAATCACAGGAGAAAAGATTCGCTTGTCTTCGAAGTAGCTCTCGAAAGGATTACACCTGCTTCCTTTTGTCTTTCGACGATCTTTCTCTCCGATGCGCGATCGTCTGAATCATTTTTCCGACTCGTTCGCGAGAAATAAGACGTTTCCCGGTTCGAGGAAAATGTACCGAGTAGAAAAAGTCAATTAGACGACAGAGTGCAATTTTTCGTGCTAGCAGAGAAGTTGGTTGGGTGTGTTCTCGAATCGTTACGAGTATTAGCAGACTACTTAATTTTCTGATATCGTATTCTCGATCAATAATAGTTAGAAATACACAGATCCGACTCGATAATTCCTGATCAGTGATCGAAATAGATCTCATTTAATGTTCCTGGTCAATGATAGAAACAGATCTAATTCGATGCTCTTGATCAATGATATTTTAGAAATAGATCCGATTGAATCGTTTCAACGAAAACGTACTAATTAGAAAAAGTCAATTAGACGACAGAGTGTGGATTTTCGTGCTAGCAGAGAAGTGGTTGGGTATGTCTCGAATCGTTACAAGTATTAGCAGATTACTTAATTTTCTGATATCGTATTTTCGATCAATAATAGTTAGAAATACACAGATTTGACTCAATAATTTCTGATCAGTGATCGAAATAGATCTGATTCAATGTTCCTGCTCAATGATAGAAACAGATCTGATTCGATGCTCTTGATCAATGATATTTTAGAAATAGATCCGATTGAATCGTTCCAACGAAAACGTACTAATTAGAAAAACTAATTAATTCGACGACAGATTGCGAATTTCCGTGCTAGCGGAGAAGCAGTTGCGTGTCTCGAATCACTGCGGACATTAGCAAGCTACATAATCCTTTGATCAACAACATTCCTGATCGATGAAAGGTCAGATTCAATCGTTCCCGGTTTCTTCTTCGCTCTCGCATCATCGAATCGAATGATATCCATTTCGAGGAATACGTACAGGCTAGAAGAAAGTCACTTATTAGACAACAGAATGCTAATTCTCGTGCTAGAAGAGAAATCGTTGTGTGTGTGTGTGTGTCTCGAATCGTTGCGAACAGAAGCGAACCGAACTATATGTAGTTGATTTCCCTTTCCTTCTGATACGATATTCCTGGTCAGTGATAGTTAGGAATAGATCCGACACAATCGTTTCCGTTTTCATTTTCCATTTCGCATCATCGTTGATTCGCGTATAGTCTCCGAGTTGAGATTGAACGCAGCGCAAGATGAATAATCCTTTTGCTACTGAGATTTTCCGAACCGGTAGGTACAGGTAGGTACGTAGAGATACACTAAATTATCACATGAGTAGACAAGTCGAGTTACTCGTTAGCAGTAGTGGGTTTGGGGTGGGGTGGGGTGGGGGCAGGAATGGAGAAGGAGGTGAGGGGCAACGATACAGCCAAAGGCAGCAATATGCTTACATCGATGAATCTAAACGCAACTACGATTCGTCGTTTTCCTAATGTAACGCGCGCGCGCGATTCTCGGCAGTTTCTTTTCTCATCGTTTTGTCTTTTTTTCGTAGGCTTTCGTTTTTCTGTTTTCTCATTTTTTTTTTCGTTTTTTTGAAACGTCTAACGATCCGGCGACTATTATTATCGCTATCCGAACAACGTGCCTGCGACCGCGGTATAAAATGCTAAATCGTTGAATCGTTCTACGAATACAATCCGAACTAGTTTCTTATACCGATGACTCCATTAGTTACGAGCTACGTGGATTTTTCACCGTGAAACCTAGCCGATTCCTCCTATTTACCGTCTGTTCCGCCTCGTTCCCTTATTTTTTCTTGCCCGCTCGTCCCTCGGGTGGTCAACGACAGAGAGCAGCGATTCTTCGTTACGTTTAAATTCAACGGACGTACGGCTTTGTGTTTTGTGTTTCCTTTTACATGTACGAACGGCTATGCCTCTGATTAAATCTACTACTTACGCGGCGAAAATTACATTAAGATATATAAATAGTATTTTTAATGTCGTAACGGTAACATTACCTACACGCTAGATATTGCGAATGCTATCGATAGTTATTTCATCTGATATAAATACATGGAACATAACGGCTCGAGTGATTAATTAGTTTGAATGTCATGATGAGAATAGCATCGCCGGACGAACATTGAACTCTTCGTGTCTCGCCGCGGTCGCACCGATGCGTTTCCATCGTGGTTTTCGTCCCCCGGTTTCCGAGCGAAACGGGGTCCTCCGATATGTCGCCGCGCGGCGATTAATTCTCGCGCCCCGCGAAAACTCTGCCCGAGCTGGCAGCTTTCGCTTTTGGTCTGCGTCCGATATCGCCTTTCCGCGGAAGAAGCAACGCGGCCACGAATCTTCGTCCCGATCATCGAGACTGTTCCGCTCTGCTAATCTCGTCGCGTTCGCGCGTCCCAGCAATTATGATAAACGTTTCCTTACCTCTCGATGTGTACGCCTATATGTACAATATGCTAGTTGTTTTTTTATTATTTTGTGTTTGTATTGATCCCGCCCTATCAAGTAAAGTTACAATTATGATGTGTCATAGTCGCGGCCCTTATCACCACCGTTCCTTCCTTAACAGAGATTATGTATACCGTTTCTCCTCCTCCTCCTCGTTGGTTACGAACCATGATATCCGTCGAATCCTCGCAGTCACACGACTACAGTGTCCTCTTTCAAAACGAAATTCGATTCACGCTTGTTCCTCTATTTCGATCGATGTTCGATGGAGAGGATCGCTAGATGAAAACTGGCGTTTTAATTAATAAAAGTGGAAATCATCGATTCGATCAAATCGTATCTTTGGAAATAATGCTGATTAAACCTTCTACGGTAACGTCTCCATAGTTAGCAATCGCGTGACTATTCTACAGATGATAGTCGCTATTCCAATTCCGTAAGAAGTTATTTCCGGATCTAGTCAGCAATGTAATCGAGTAAGTTGTCCATTAATTGCTAAAAAAATCTCGTACCTATTCTGCTATTGGCACTCGCAGGCGGAGGTCTCCAGGGTTGACGCTCACATTTTGATGAGACTTGGTACAGTGATAGAGCTTTTATAGCTGAATCCAACGATATCCGATTTTAGGGGTAGGCGGATATATATATACACCCGATTTTAGGGGTAAGCGGATATGTATTATTATTATATATTATATTATTATTATTAATATATATATATATATATTAATATATATATAATATATATATAATATATATATAATATATATATAATATAATATATATTAATATATATTAATATATTATATATATAAATATTACATAAATAATATTTATATATATAATATATTAATATAATTTTTAATAATATTATATATATATTTATATATTATAGATTTCGAGATAATTAATATTAAAGTTGCTAACAAAAATCCAGAAAGCCGCGCTGGATTAGAAAGTGGGGGTTACCTCGCAGATCGCAAGCAGGTAGCCCGCTTTACGACGACGTGATTGGCACCCCCCACTTTCTCTCCGTACGGCGCTTTGCTCCATAATCCAGTGTGTCTTTGTGGCCTTTTATTAGCAACTTTAACATCAATTATCTCGAAAACTAAAAGCCGTCTGCCGCAAAAGCCGGGTATCATTGGATTCAACTTTACAAACTCTATCACTGTACGAAATCTCATCAAAAAGAGAGTGTCGATCCTGGGGACCTCCCCTTGTCAGCGGTTTCGAGCAATTGTCATCTATGGAGAATTTACTGAATAAACAGAGTCTGGAAAGTATAATTACGTTTAGTACTTAATGAGATAGCGAGCTCTACCTCGACGAAGCAAATAATTCGAATTTTTTACCTCGAATCCTCTCCTCTTCGCTGAAACCACCGTTAACTGGTATTAATGAAATTTGTGAACGAATTTCATTAATAATGAAATTTCTTGTCTGAATCGATAAGACGAAAAGGTCGTGTTGTACATTCGTGAATCAGTGTCGAGGCATGTTCACCAAATACCTAATGTGACCGTGATACTACGATGCTAGACAAAATTATAAGTCCACTTAATTTCATTTTCCTTCTCAGAATACTGCGCGAAGCTGCGCGCTAATCGCGAGAAAAGAGTTCGCAATTATTCTGCGCTAAAATAAACGGCTTTTTTCTATAACCGAACTTACACCTTTGTTCGTTCTTGTTTAAAAACAGCAACTTTATCGATGCACGTTAATATCGCGAAATATCTTTTCACGACGTAATTTCTCGCGTCTTTCGCCATAATTACGCGAAGCAACGTAAACTAACTGCGACAATAAAGGAACCGACAATGAAGTGTTCAACTTTTCCGAGCGCTACAAATCACCTACACGTTCCCAGACATACTCATTCATACGATTCTTCTACGCATACCTTCGTTATCCTATCAGTAGCTCCTTCCCAAGAAGAATATGATATTTCAGTTGCCGTATTGCAATACGTTGATAGGATTCTTCCGGATAGGACACCGTCCTCCGTCGTCCCTCGTCCGTTTCCGCCTTCGGATCGGACAACAATTCCGACAGCTCCGGCAAACGAGAGTACCTTTTTACCTTACCGCGAAGATATATCTTTAAACCATGCAAGGAATGTTCACAGTTACATTAAGATTACACGATATTGCTCCTAAATTTTCGACGATCATTGTGGACCCTCGAAGCCCTTGCGATAAACCCGCGTAAACCCCATGCGCCGCTCGCACGGGGAAGCTACGGCAGGGCGGCGACTTCCGCGGGAGCGGAAGCTCGCCCCGCGTTCACCCGCTCGATTGTCGAATTCACAGTTTCACGTTTGTATTCCCTAACAGATCTTACGTATCTAAGAAACAGTTCGTATTCGAATGCTCCGACGTCGTTGCGTTCCGACGATCTCGCGCGTTTCTCGCCGTTGCGTGCCAGAAGATCCATGGGGACGGTTGCAAGCATGGGGGGATGGTCCTCGCGCGGAGGCCTTCGACAGCTTCGCTGTCTATCGCCCTGATTTTGCTCGTGAACGCTTCGAGTTCGAGCGATCACGAGCGCAACCTACCAAGAATCCTCTATAAGCCGAGGATGATGAACGCGTCTGCTGCCGGAAATCAAGGTCGCTGCGCTGAATGGTTCCGATGTTCCTCCGGAAGCTGTGGCCCGGAGAACGCCCGCTCCCCGCGGGCAATCAGAACTTGGTCCTCACGGTGATCCAGTGAGGATAGAGCGCGTCGTCGACTGTTTCCGGTCCCGCGTTCAAGTAGCTCCTGGCCGGGCACGAGCGACAAACGCCGAGAACATCGTGGTGATCGACGTCGTGGAACGTTCAGTATCAGGACGTGGGCGCGTACCCGAGGTTCTTCCGCTGCAGGAACATCGAGATCTCCCGGAAGGTCGGCCGCTCGTTCTCCTCCCGTCGCCAGCACTCCAGCATCAGGTCGTAAATATCCTTGGAGCACGCGGTGGGCCGCGGCAAATAGTCGAAAAGGTTATCGGCGGCCTCCTTGCAGTCGTTGTTCTCGCCACCGGCGGCGTCGGTGCAGTCCGCGGCACGGTGCAGCCGGCGCAGGTTCTGCACCATCTCCTCGTCGGACAAGTGCTCGTACGGCGCCCGTCGGCCCAGGTTCAGGATCTCCCACAGGGTCACCGCGAACGCCCACACGTCGCTCTTCGTCGTGTACTTGCCCTGCGAAGATTCGTATCGGTTACAGCGATGCACGCTTAAATCTGTCGCGGGCTAGAGCCCGTGTTAGGGCGGACGTGCAACTTGTCGCCGAGAGGAGTGGCCGAGATAAAGGGGTCAAGAATGTTCTCGAAATGGATCGGCAACTTGGGTTGTAAATATTTCTAACCACCGTTCCGGGAATTCGAAGCTATTTTGCAACGATTTTAGAATTCGTAGCGGAAAATGTTCGATCAAATTTGGGTTACGCGGGCGAACAGGTTCTAAGGGATTTTTGCGAGCTTTGAAACAATTGTGTTATTAACCTTTTAGGTACGGCTGAATTCTGCGCGAGGCTATTTCTCTGGACGGCAGAGTCTGATGTGTACTCTACAGAGTCTGATACCGTATATACAGGATGACCCAAAAATGTCTCGCAATCCGAAAGTGGCGGGTTCCTGAGGCCATTCGAAGCAACTTTTTCCTTTACAAAAATTTTCTCCGAGGCACTGTTAACGAGTTATTAACGAAAAACAGTGACCAATGAGAGACGAGCTCGGCTGGCGCGAGACGATCGAGCCAATGAGCGGAACTGGGCTTCGCGCGCTGGTTGGCTGGGCCGCCTCGCGTCAGCCGTACTCGATTCTTACTGGCGCACTGTTTTCGTTAATAACTCGTTAACGGTGCCTCGGAGAACATTTTTGTAAAGGAAGAAGTTGCTTCGAATGATCCGAGGAACCCGCTATTTCCGGATTGCGAGACATTTTTGGGACACCCTGCAGACTGTTGTAAATCGATGCGAAGACAAAAGAAGTGTGAAACAATGCATATGAAGACGATTATTTGGTTCAAAGGATGAGCGAGTGAGCTACTAGAGCAAGCCACTATAGTGGCGCGTTGTGCCTAAAAGGTTAATATATTTTTTATAATTATATTAAAGTTAATATAATTATAAAGGTTAATATGTTTATATATTTTTTATAAGGAACTGGTAAAATGTAAGTATGCGTACTAAGCGTTAGACGAAAATCATAAATAAATGTAATGCAGACTTAATCGTTGACTGGTGAAATAAAGCAATTCTGAACGTCATAAGTTAGTAGGTGAAACACAAAACTGTGAAGATGTTAGACAAATTAATAACGTTATTGCACTTTTTTCGATTGATTAAAGTCATTAAAAGAAAATATACAACGACAATTGTTTTACGATATTTTCGTTTGTCATTAATCTGCAATTTATTTCGTAAAAGAATTCGAGAATTCTACAAATACATACTGGCACCGCAATGCTAGTTTTGTAAAACGAAGAATAATTAAATGGATAGCGAAGTTCTTATTAAAGCGTAGTACTTCGATGTAAAGAATCTAACGAACGAATTAGAACCTAATGAATGAAATTTCGACAAATCGCGATCGCAGGAAATTATCGTACCGGCAAAGCGAGTTAATCATCCTCCGTATCGGAAACAGAGTTTTATCAATGGTAGAATAATCATGCATTTCAAACAGCGTATCCGCAATCACGATCGTGACAAATCACGAATTCATTCGTGCACAATATGCAGACCATTTGGTAAATTACTAAATAAGTGATATATAGAATAAGATAAATACACACACGCGCATGCTGTGTTAATAGCGCGAACGTTCTAATTGGACCGTTCGAACGAAGCTTACCAGAAATATGGACTCCCAGGCCATCCAGCGTATCGGCAGCGGCACCGCACCATCGACTTTGTAATAATCGCACGCGTACAATTCGTTGTCCGTACCGAAATCCGAGATTTTAATGTGATAAGCTTTGCCCACCAAGCAATTCCTGTAATCGAAAATCATTATATCGATGAGGCGCAATCGTGTGTCGCGGCCACTCTAATCTACAAACATCCGATCGACGGCCATTTATTTAACTTCGCGGCCGTAGCACCGGCGCTCGTGCTTTTATTATAATTAACAATTTTCCAATTTACCCTTCGATCCGCGATCGCCGTTCCGCGTCTATCAAATTGACCGATCGCGATCGGTCAACGACAGCGTTTTTATTTTCAACTCGGCTCTCTCTCTCTCTCTCTCTCTCTCTCTCTCTGTTCCTTGTTTTCGTTTTGCTCGCGGCCTCCGTTTCTATCGGCGGTTTGCGAGGGGAGGGGGGGGGGGGCTTTTGTTTTTTCCGCGCCTCAAAGAGAAAACTACACCGGAGGGGAACATTTTCGAATAATTCCAGACCGGGCCGCAGACACGGAAAGAGGTTTCGACTTCGGTAGCCAGGGAATCCGAATACTTTTCCGATCGATTCAGCTCGGATGAAAAAGCCAGGATCAAATCGATCTCTCGGTCGGTATGTCGGTTGAATAGCGCGGCCGCCAATCTGCATACGCGTACGCATTCTGTGCATCGCAGCAGACCGGAAGCAGGAATGGCTGCCAGCGGGCTCCATTTGCACATACGTGTGGATGAGCTACGCTTCCTGTACAAGCACACGCCACCGCCGTACAATCGAACGTAACTTTACGGCAAACTTTACCATGGACAACAACCGGATCGAATCGCTGCATGATCGTCGGAGATCGTCATGAAGTGTGGCCCAAAGTCATGGCAGCTTCGGGTTACCGATTTAACCGTTTGCGTACCACGAGCCACATTTGCGCTCTTCAGATTTTGCGTCGAGAAAAGCCAGGGCATTTGACCGAAACAGACGACTTACGGCCCACCCGAAATCTGTCGAAACGTGTTCGGTCCTTCGGACGCGTGTATACGTCGCGCGTCGCATCGCTGTCAGTAATCCAATTTGCATTTTGTTGTTACCTATTCTAAATTAATAGTATATATATTTTCATTCGTAACGTTTTATTTTATGTTTTACGGCTTTTTTCGACGCATAATCGAAGGAGCGCTATTGCGCTCTTCGGCGCTTTTCGATCCTGTTTTTTCAGAACCATCTGGTACGCAAACGATTAAATACAGACTCAGATCTAAGCGGCAGGTGAGAACGTTCTCGTATTTGGTCATTTGCCTGTCTCTTATACACATCTCTATTCTCCTTCCATTAAAATCTGTCTCTTATACACATCTCTATTCTCCTTCCATTAAAATCTGTCTCTTATACACATCTCTATTCTCCTTCCATTAAAATCTGTCTCTTATACACATCTCTATTCTCCTTCCATTAAAATCTGTCTCTTATACACATCTCTATTCTCCTTCCATTAAAATCTGTCTCTTATACACATCTCTATTCTCCTTCCATTAAAATCTGTCTCTTATACACATCTCTATTCTCCTTCCATTAAAATCTGTCTCTTATACACATCTCTATTCTCCTTCCATTAAAATCTGTCTCTTATACACATCTCTATTCTCCTTCCATTAAAATCTGTCTCTTATACACATCTCTATTCTCCTTCCATTAAAATCTGTCTCTTATACACATCTCTATTCTCCTTCCATTAAAATCTGTCTCTTATACACATCTCTATTCTCCTTCCATTAAAATCTGTCTCTTATACACATCTCTATTCTCCTTCCATTAAAATCTGTCTCTTATACACATCTCTATTCTCCTTCCATTAAAATCTGTCTCTTATACACATCTCTATTCTCCTTCCATTAAAATCTGTCTCTTATACACATCTCTATTCTCCTTCCATTAAAATCTGTCTCTTATACACATCTCTATTCTCCTTCCATTAAAATCTGTCTCTTATACACATCTCTATTCTCCTTCCATTAAAATCTGTCTCTTATACACATCTCTATTCTCCTTCCATTAAAATCTGTCTCTTATACACATCTAGATGTGTATAAGAGACAGGTAATATATTGAGCAAATTGAATATTACTAGGATTTGTAGAATGCTAAATAGCTGAACCAATATTTCCTATGGTCAATTTTCACTTTCTAGTTTCGGTGACATTAATTAAATGAGACTTTGCTATTCTGTGAATTTTCCGAGTTAATATTCTGCACCTAATGAGTTAAAATGCTGTGTCACATTGATATTTTACACAATAGTTGAGAACTCGATGTGTTTTTTGTGACTTCTTGAATTAATTTTAGTCGTTTCGTCGTATCAGTCTGTAAGGTAAAGTGAAAAAGTTTGTGTAGAAGTTTAAAGAACGACCAACATGTAATCGGATGATTCCAATATGGGATTGTGATCGTTTGATTTATACATTTTTATACGAATCCGACGATATTGTTTGTAATAGATAAACTTTTTGGATTTTTACTGAAAATATTCTTTTCTGCGCGTTTAATTTCACGCAGCTGTACACAGTAATTACTCCACTGCGGATCTTATGCATTTGTGAGAACAGTGAGTAGTTTTAATGCAAAACAGTAAAGACTCGACTCGTTAAAATTATTATTAATAAGAGAAATGAATATGCGTGTAGCTGCTGTATCTTGCAATTAATGCAGATGGCTCACATTTTGCACAGAAATGCGCGGACTAAAAATTACTTTGTACACGATTTCCTCTATTCTCCTTCCATTAAAATCGTTTTAATCCAATTTTCCTTCAGCTTGTAAACAAAAATGGACAATTTGGGAGGAGGAGATACGATTATTCGAGCCTTGCAACCATAAAAATGAGCCGCGAGGTTCGAATAATCGTATCTTCCCAAATTATCCATTTTTGTTTACAAGCTGAAGGAAAATTGGGAAAAATGTACTAAAGCGAAGAAAGTCGATTACTTCTGTATTTAAAATTCAATAGGAAGAGCATTATTGCGTGGCCAGCCATATACAGGGTGGGGCATTTTAAACCCAAAGTGACACAGAAAAGCAAAGCTAAAATACAGTAAAATGGCAAATAATCGAAAAGCACTCTGAGACAATTTATTTTCTCTTGCAGTTGACTTTGGGTGACCTTGAATCACCTTCATAATAGTTCATTGTATTCGCCTCGAAACACTCTATCAGAATGTAAGTAAAAAAACTTACTGTTCCATTTAAAAAAACAGAATTGACCTTTATATCTCCTTGACGCCTCCACTTACAGAAAAATTGGTAATACCAGATGATGAGCCCCCCGATACCAAGTAAGTTTGGTCTAATGCATTTTCTCCTATCTTCAAAAACAAGCGAGTTATTCAGGTGACCCGTTTAAAATGCCTGTATAGTTGTAAAATCGAAGCGCGTTAATAAAATCTGACGTAGACAACCCGGTAACGACGAAATAGCTGAAAATGGCCAGTATCTGGGCTGGCATGAAATGAGTTTGTGCCTCGACAGAGGACTGTCGAGCTCCGTGAAGTATCCGGTTGACAGTTTTCGGCTCCGATCTCGTGAGGCGACTGCCTCCCGGTTTCAAAGACGAACTATAATTCTCGCCGAGACAAACGAGCAACCGAACGGTGTTCGAGTATCCAGCGTTATCGAGTGAATGGAGTCAATTAATTTCATCGGTGGAACAAAGCTCCAATTTGGAGGCAGAACCCAGGTAATTAGCGGCGCTTTATCGATCACTGTGATTGGCTGTGCCACGCTCTTCGAGTTGAACGGCGGCGAGACGGTGACCTGATCCACCAAAGTCCCGGGTCAGGACCCTTAATGCAATAAGCAATATTCACTCGCCGGATCCCATCGAAACCTTTGTGTGACTTACGGAGCGTCATCCTACGAGTAATACGGCTTTTACCAGTCGAGTATACTTAATGCAAATGAACATTTCTCTCCGCGAATAATCGAGTGCTTCAACGGTAATGCTCGGTTTCGGGATCCATTCGACGGAACTTGAAGCAAACTCGACACTTTTGCCACTTCGATCGCTGTCTTACGCGTATGCCAGTGATAGCTTTAGCTTGGAGTTAGAAGGGAATTTCAGGTATCGGCAGAGCTTTATCTTGCACTTGGATATCGCTGATGTAAGTTCCGTTGTAAATGTTGGAAACTGTAAATGTAACATTATTCGCTGACTTGTGAAGATCTCTGCTCTCGATGGAGGAACTGATCTTTAGGAACAGATCTTTAGCAAAATCAAAAGTTTGTGAAAATCTTATTGCAATATATTAAATTTGAGCTGAGAATATTAAAGTAGAATATATTTAACAACAAATTAGTCAGAAACGAAAAAAGAAAACTGCATTATTTCTTAGTCAATTTTTATGTTTTCTCAAAATCGGAACTTCCAGCCCTGGTATCCCCTACTTCGATTTAGTGGAAGCTACAACAACGGAATCACGCTTTCGTGACACCGATCATCAAATACAGTAATGTCTCCCTAGAATGCCAAATTTCGGGTTGCTGTGAATTTTCTTGTGCTAATCCTACGCTTATGAAATTTATTGCTACGTCGATGATAAGGTTCGACGGAGTCGGTCAAGCATGTAACAACAAGATACGTGACCAATCTCCGTCGAATCATGGCATATGACCTCCAAATTGCCTTGGAATAGTGGCACATAGACTTCGAATTGTCTTCGAATCGTGGCAAAAAATTAGAAATAAAAAAGTTAAGTAATTGTTTTTATTCTAGCATCACTATACAGGGTGTCCCGAAAATGTCTCGTAATCCGGAAATGGGAGGTTCCTGAGGTCATTCGAAGCAACTTTTTCCTTTGCAAAAATTTTCTCCGAGGCTTCGTTTACGAGTTATTAACGAAAAACACTGACCAATAAGAGGCGAGCTCGGCTGGCGCGCGGCGGCCCAGCCAACGAGCACGCGGAGCCCGATTCCGCCCATTGGCTCTACCGTTTCACGCCAAATGATCTCGCCTCTGATTGGTCACTGTTTTTCCTTAATAACTCGTAAACGAAGCCGCGGTTTGCATTTTCGCTAAGGAAAAAGTTGCTTCGAATGACCTCAGGAATCCCCTGCT